AACTACTGGCCATTTTCTGGCTTTTAAACTCTCCTCTCTTGGTTTCCAGAACGTTATTGTCTCCTGGTTTTTCTTATTTCATTCTGTCAACTACTCAGCATTTACCTGCTCTCATTTCATTTATTTCTATGACCTGTCTGACCTCTGTAAGATCACTTTTTTATTATTATTTACTTGAAAGTCAGAGTTACAGAGAGTGGGAGAGAAAGAGAAGGGGTTCCATCTGCTGGTTCACTCCCCATGTGGCAACAACGGCCGGATGAGAGCCAGGGCTGAGCCAGGAGCTGTATCTAGTCTCCCATGTGGGTAGCAGGAGCCCAAGAACTTGGGTCATTTTCTGCTGCTTTTCCTAGACCATTAGCAGGGTGCTGGATCAGAAGTGGAGCAGCAGAAACACAAATTGGTACCTATATGGGATGCTGGCATCACAGGCATGGCTTTACCTGCTATGCCACAATGCTGGCCCTACAACCCTCTTCTAAACATATATTAACAGTTTTCAATGATATACCTTGGATATCTTTTGACATTAGTAGACAAAAACATAAACTGTTAACTAAATTTACCATTTTGATAGCTAAGCAGTATTCCATCTTATAGATATCATAATTTAACTAATTTCTTATTGTTAGATATTCAGTTCACTCCATGTTTCTGTAATTACAAGGTTGCAAAGAACATTTATACATATGCTTTTGCAAACCTGCATGGTGTATTCTCTAACAGCGAAATTGCTTAGCCAAAGGGAATGAACACATAGTTTGTATTAATTTATGGTCCCCAAAACATGAATGCCATCCTTCACTCATACCTACAACTTCCAATCACTTAAGAAAACATCTATTCTGCCTTCTCAATATCTCTACAATCTGTCCTCATCTTTCCATTCTTATTCCTACTTATTTTAGTTTTCAGGCAATTAGTATTTTTAACTTGGAGTGCTATCAATAGCAACATATCTCCATATCTCATTCCCCTTCAATACATTTCTGATACCTTCCAGAATGATCCTACTGAAATACCTAATATATCTCTCTCCTTCTAAAGACTTGGTGTGACATACCAGGTCTTTCCACATTTGAGACCTACTTATCTTTAATGTCTCATCTCTTACTACAAAATCTAGCTCCCATTCTGCACCCTAGACAAACTTAGCTATTTGCACTTCCCTATCACTGGGGCCAGCATTGTGGCATGGCCGGTAGGGCGGTCACCTACAACGCCAGCATCCATATAAGCGCTAGTTCGAGTCCTGGCTGCTCCACTACCCATCCAGCTCTCTGCTACGGTCTGGGAAGTCAGTGGAGGATAGCCCAGGTCCTTGGGCCCCTGCATCCACATGGGAGACCCAGAGGAAGCTTCTGGCTTTGGATCGGCCTAGCTTTGGCCATTGAGGCTGTTCAGGGAGTGCAACAGCAAATGGAGAACCTCTCTCTTTCTCTCTGCCTCTCTGTAACTCTGCCTTTCAAATAAATAAATAAATCTTTAAAACAAAACAAAACAAAATCTTCTGTATTTTTCTTAAGTTTGTCCTATGTCTTAAGTCAGTCACCACCAGGACAAGCAACCTTTTGTTAAAACTTTATTTCTGTGGCTGGCACTATGGTGCAGCAGGTTAAAGCCTCGGCCTGCAGTGCTGGCATCCCATATGGGTGCCGGTTCCAGTCCCAGCTGCTCCACTTCTTATCAAGCTCCCTGCTAAAGTGCCCAAGAAAGCAGCAGAGGATGGCTCAATCCTTAGGCCCCTGCACCCACCTGGGAGACCCGGAAGAAGCTCCTGGCTCCTGGCTTTAGACTGGCTCAGCTATAGTCACTGCAGCCATCTGGGGAGTAAACCAGCAGATGGAAGACCTCTCTTTGTCTCTACCTCTCTAATTCTGTCTTTCAAATAAATCTTAAAAAAAAAAACACTGTATTTCTTTTAAAGATTTTCTTATCCACTGGTTCACTCCCCAAAAGGCTGCAGCGGCCAGGCCTTGGGCAGACTGAAACCAGGAGCCAGGAACTTTTTCCGGGTCTCCCACATGGGTGCAGGGGCCCAAGCACTTGCAACATCATCCACAGCTTTCCCAGGCACATTAGTAGTGACCTGGATCAGAAGTGGAGCAGCAATGGCCGGCGCCACGGCTCAATAGGCTAATCCTCCGCCTGCGGCACCGGCACCCCGGGGTTCTAGTCCCAGTCAGGGTACCAGATTCTGTCCTGGGTGCTCCTCTTCCAGTCCAGCTCTCTGCTGTGGCCCAGGAGTACAGTGGAAGATGGCCCAAGTGCGTGGGCCCTGCACCCACATGGGAGACCAGGAGAAGCACCTGGCTCCTGGCTTCAGATTGGCGCAGTACGCCGGCCGCAGTGGCCATTGGGGGGTGAACCAACGGAAAAGGAAGACCTTTCTCTCTGTCTCTCTCTCACTGTCCATTCTGCCTTTCAAAAAAATAAAAAAAGTGGAGCAGCTGGACTCAAATTGGTGCCCATATGGGATGCCAGCATTGCAGGCAGCAGCTTTACTGGCTATGCCACAACACCAGCCCGCATTCTTTTTTTTTTTTTTTTTTAATCTGTGAGCCCACCAATACTTCTTTAACTATTATTTATTTGAGAGGCAGATAGAGACAAAATTTTCATCTGTTGGTTCACTCCCAAAATTCCTGCAATAGCCAAAGCTGGGCCACAGCCAGGGAAACAGGAACTCAATCCAGGTCATTCACATGGATGGCAGGGACCCAAATACTTCAGCCATCACCTGCTGTCTCCCAGGGTCTGCATTAGCAGGAAGCATGAATTTGCAACAGAGCCAGGACTCAAACCCAGGCACTCAGATAGGGGATATAAGCATACCACACAGCATCATTAACTACTAAGCCAAATGCCTGCTCCCCACCAATACTTATTACCAAAACTCCAGCTGACTAGCTTCAGGTGTTTTCAGAAAACAGTAATAGAGAAATAATTAGCCTGACAAGGGGGCATTTCTACTCTCTAATTTCTGATTAGTAATAAGAGCACAAAGGTGAAAGCAGATTCTTTCAACCCTACCCAGAAGGAAAAAATATGGAAGGCTCATCCCCTACCACTTGTCTTAATATATTCGATCTAGTCAAATACAAGGGTACTTCAAAGAATTCATGAAAAATGGAATTAAAGTTTACTTTAGTGAAAAAAAATTTAATTCATGCATACTTTTCCCACAACATGTACTTTCCATAAGACCCCTTGTATAGTTCTCTGAACTTGCCCTGTTTTTTCATTCCTCTATGATACTGAACATTTTATTCTCTGCCCATAGTGTTCATTTTCTCATGTCTTTCTGGTTGTCCCTTCCTTATCTCCTCCAACCAGTTCTATCTCTTCTACCTGACAAATTTACAGCTGTACTTCTTGAACTGCTAAACATTACAGGAAAGGGTAGGTGGGCACTGTGGCACAATGGGTTAAGTTGCTACTTGGCACTCCCGCATCCCATATCAGAGTGCCTGGCTCAAATTTTGGCTACCACACTTCCAATCCAGTTTCTCCAATACATCCTGGAAAGCTGAAGTGTGTGGGGCCCCGTCACCCCTGTGGGAGATGCAGATTAAGTTTGGGGTTCCTGGGTTTGGTCTGGCTATCCTGGGCATTTGGAGAGTGTGTGAACCAGCAGATGGAATCAATCTCTTTGTTTCTCTGCCTTTCAAGTAGATGAAAGTAAACATACATTTAAAAAGAAACATTACAGAAGAAAAGTCATACAATCATGTGGACTCGGGTGAGACCTCAGTATGCTAAGAAATCCTTTCAAATGCCCTTAGCTTCTTCTGCTACTTTGCTTAAGAAGTTACATGAGATTGATGTTTCCTGCTTCATTCCCTGTCTTTCAAAACACATTAACTGGTTAGTTTTGTTCACCAATATGCAATCCCAACTGTAATCTCAACAACTAGTTTCTTAAGCCTATCATGCAATTTCAGGCCTCTGCCTTTACATATTACCTAGGATATTTTCTCCATATTCTTTGCCTATCAAAGGCCATTGATCTTTCAGAAATCAGCAAAATTCTCTTCTAGAAAGCTTCTGCTAATTACACTTTGATTTAGGTATCCTGTCCTGTAACCCTCTGTGCATGCTTCAAGCTTAATATTTAAGTATTCCAAGCAATGACTTGAACAGCCCTTGTTTTCACTGTCGAGGAACAGTTTATTATCTTATTTTATTATTATTTTCTTTTTCTACTTAAAACCACTGGTAAAATTCTTTACTTAAAAAATTAAGTATTCCAATTTTCTATTTCTCAGACTAAACTATAATCATGATTATGTTAGACCATGTCTAATTTGCTTTTGCATTTGTAGTACTTATCAGTGTCAGTACATATAAAGGCCATCAATGTTTGCTTAACAAGTGAGTTATTCAAAACTTAACTTCATTAGCTTGATTATGAAGCCTTTTTTAATTTTCAGGTTAAAATCTTCCTTCTCCTCCTCCAGTGTACTTTGTACTTCCTTCTATTACAGTCCTGTCAAACTGCATTTGTCTCTCACCATCAACTGGATTATGATTTACTCAAGGAACAGTAACTATCTTTCTCATTAAGTAGCTAGCACAGAGCCTGGCATATGTCACAGAGCCTGCATATATACTGAGCAAACACTCCATGTGCCAAGGAGGCACATCATGGTCTATAGTCGCAATTCCCTAAACTTCATCTAAGGGTTTGGGCCCAGGTATATTTTCATATCTCTTGGTAAAGCAGTGAGGGGTTAAAGTAATATCCATTTTCTTTTTATTCACATCTCATTTTTCTAGGCTTTCCAAAATTTCTAAAGTAAGCATTTGCTACTTTCATCATTAAAAGTTTAATCGCAAACTTTATAGAACACACTAAAAATACAAGCCTCCTTTAAAAAAAAAGTCGCTTGACTAATTCACAGCTAACTATCACTGCTCAAGGCTGCTTTACACACTTTAATAATACTAATGCTGGATGGAATGATTGATGGAAAGAGAAAAAAAAAAGAAATACCCACCATTATACTTAACACTATTGGCCAGAATAAGGTTTACATCATCTAGAAAGCTCTCCCGACTCTGGTATTTGTGCTTGGAGATATTCTGTAATGAAAAGAATCAGGCACTCACATATATGCACAAAGTGCTTGATTACAAAAGGCATTTTAGATCAAATCACTCACCTTACGGATAGTTTCTAAATCCATTGGATTTACAATCACTTTATAATAATCAGGAACAAACTTCTTATTAACTGGGTGATGAAATGGCCAAGACTAGTAAAAAAAAAAAACATGAGAAATTAAATGGAAACCATTCTTCATACCACAGATTTTTAGCTTTCATTAGATCACAAATGTTCCTGACAAAAGCTATAGATTCTCTTCCCAGCAAAACACATAATCATATAAAACTTTGTATAATAAATATTAACTTTAATGGCTGCAATGGCTGAGGGATGGACCAGGCCAAAGCTAGGAACTAGTAGTTTCTTCTGGGTCTCCCTCATTGGTAGCAGGGGCACTTGGGCCATCTTCCACTGCTTTCCCAGGTGCATTAGCAGGGAGCTGGATCAGAAGTAGAGCAGCCAGGACTCTAACTGGTGCCCATTTGGATGCTGGTCCTGAAGGTAGCAGTTTAACACACTAAGCCACAATACTAGCTGCAAAATTTTGTATAAAATTTAAGGAGTTCATGGGACTTCAGTATTCCTGTGTCCTGATAGGGTAAGAAGGCCTGGTCTACACTCACAATTAAATTCTTTATTCCCTAGTCATATTCAAAAGTTTTTACAGCGTTATGTAGATAGAACACATACCTACAATGTAAAGGGGAACTCAGTTCAGAATTTCTAAGGAAGATCATTGCAAACAATGGCTTATGAAGTTGCAAGTACTCTGCCATTCAAATAATAAATAAATTTATCTTTTTTAAAAAGTTGTAAATAGCAAAACAAAAAAACAAAAACAAACAAACAAACAAAAGACAGCAGGGGCTGGCGTTGTGGTGTAGTGGGTAAAGCCACTGCCTGCAGTGCCAGCATCCTATATGGGTGTTGCTTCAAGTCCCGGCTGCTCCACTACCCATCCAGCTCTCTGCTATGACCTGGGAAAGCAGAAGATGGCTCAAGTGCTTGGGCCCCTGCACCTGTGTGGAAGACCCATCAGAAGCTCTTGGCTCCTAGCTTTGGATTGGCAAAGCTTCAGTTGCTGCAGCCATTTTGGGAGTGATAGAGAGGACCTCTCCCTCTCTCTCTGCCTCTGCTTCTCTGTAAATCTACTAGATAGATAGATAGATAGATAGAGAGGACCTCTCCCTCTCTCTCTGCCTCTGCTTCTCTGTAACTCTGCTAGATTGATAGATCTTTTTTAAAAAAGACAAAAACAACTGGGCAATTATCAAAACACTGTCTAAAGAGAGCCTTCCAGTAGTCGGCATTCTCTCTCCCAGAGGCCGTTCAGGAGCATTCAAGTATCAAATGTCTACAAGAAGCAAATACCCAAAGAAACATGGCCTCAAAAAAAAAAAATTGTTTATGGGGCCAGCGCCATGGCTCACTTGGCTAATCTTCCTTGCGGCGCCAGCACCCTGGGTTCTAGTCCTGGTTGGGGTGCCGGGTACTAGTCCCGGTTGCTCCTCTTCCAGTCCAGTTCTCTGCTGTGGCCGGGGAGGGCAGCGGAGGATGGCCCAAGTGCTTGGATCCCTGCACCTGCATGGGAGACCGGGAGGAAGCACCCAGCTCCTGGTTTTGGATCGGCACAGCGCTGGCCATGGCAGCCATTAGGGGAGTGAACCAATGTAAGGATGACCTTTCTATCTGTCTCTCTCTCTCACTAACTCTGCCTGGCAAAAAAAATTAAAAAAAAAAAAAATTAAAAAAAACTCTTTATGTATTTGAAAGGCAGTTAGAGAGAGAGAGACAGACAGAGAGATCTTCCATCGGCTGGTTTACTCCCCAAATGGCCACTACGGCCGGGGATGGGCCAAAGCCAGGAGCCATAAGCTTCTTCCAAGTCTCCCACATTGGTGTATGGGCCCAAGCACTTGGGCCATCCTTTGCTACTTTCCCAGTCATGGTAGCAAGGAGCTGGATTGGAAGTGAAGCAGCCAACACTCGAACCGGCACTCATATGAGATGTCAGTTTCACAGGCAGCAGCTTAACCTGCTAAGCCATGGCGTCACCTCAAAGCTGGGCTTCATTAATTTGAATGATAATGTACTCACACAGCAAAAGTGTTGGAAATTAAAATTATACAGCAGTTTCAACTGACATACACATGCAAACCTTGTCCTTTTTTCCCCCTTTACTATCCTCACAATATTTAGTACAGAGCACTTACATCTGGAACTGCCATCATTTTCTGGGTGACAATGTTGTCCAGAATAAAAGAAAATGCCACTTGATCATCATCATCCAGCAAGGGGTTGATAGCTTTCTCTAAGCGAGCCAATTTGTCTTCTTTCTGAAATGAGAGAAAACAAAGCCAGGACATAGGTTTACTTGAGGTGTTATCAACATTGAAAAGTTAAGGATAATTTAAAGGTTCAGTTAGCTCTATATTAACTCTTCCCCAAAAAAGTTTAACTGTGAATTGTCTGCTATTCAATTCTAGGCAAAAAGTACACACAAGTGATAACCCAGTTAAAAGGCTCAAAAGGGATGTGTCAACTTCCTTAGGTATTCTGTATCCTATTCTCATATAATAGAATATACATAGCTAGGTGTCAGTAGTTTAGCTCTTACAACATTAAAACATCTTCACCAAGTTAGGCTTTAATATCATGTTGCTTTTGTTGTAAAATCATTATTGAAAACACTGAACATTATGACTGATTAGTGGCTTTTATATAAGGGATCTCAGCCCACTAAATTCATTTCAGATTCAGAAACAGCAAAATGTCTGTTTTGGGGCCGGCGTGGTGGCACAGCGGGTTAAAGCCCTGGCCTGAAGCGCCGGCATTCCATATGGGCGCCAGATCAAGATCCAATGCTCCACTTCTGATCCAGCTCTCTGCTATGGCCTAAGGCTTTGGGCCCCTGCACCCCCGTGGGAGACCCAGAAGAAGCTCCTGGCTTCTGAGTTCGAATCGGTGCAGCTCCAGCCATTGTGGCCAATTGGGGAGTGAACCAGTGGATGGAAGACCTCTCTCTCTCTGCCTCTCCTCTCTCTGTGTAACTCTTTCAAATAAATAAATAAATAAATCTTAAAAAAATAAAATATGTTTCCACTGCTATACATCCTCATCAGTAAGTACTATCAATCTTTTTAATTTTAGAGTTTCTAGTGGGACATAATGATAACTATTCACAATTTAATTTGCATCTCCCCAGTAATCAACCAAGTTAAGACTTCTTTTCATGTTTGCTGGCCATTTAGTTATCTTCTTTTGTGAAATGTCCACTCTATTATTAGTATCATCATCATACTTGTATATTTGTAGGCTTGTAAAGTGCCACAACTATTTTTGCTAAGATGATGAAACGTAGATAATCTTCTAAAAATTAAAACTACTCCTTGTCAAAACACTGATTAGTCTCTTAGCTACAGGTTACTTCTTGGGAAGCTACATTCCTTCACCCTTTCTGAGTTACATATGGTCTGGATTTTAATCCTCACTACTGAAATATTCATGATGTCCAAAGCAAGTCATTTTCCTCTATGGATTTATTTTAACCTACAAAAGGGATTGGCCTGCTTTTTCAAGTTCTTTATAGCCTTCATATCCTAAAGATCTTCTATCCCCACATATATTCTTCTGTTAAATTCCGCACTTCCTAAACCCTGCCACCACCATCCCATCCTCCCATCTTAAAATTCCATTGCCTTTCTCTCATTCTAAATGTCTTACCTCTTTGAGTTTTTCATCACAGAGATCCAGCATGGATTGAGAAATTTGAGTCAATGAGTGCTTTGGCCCTACAGAGGAACAGTAAGAAATGGGATCATTAAAAATGGGAAACAAGAACTGCTAATAGCTTGCTATCCTCTTAACCCATTTACTTAAGAACCTTGGGGTAGGTGTTTTATGCAGCAGTTAAGTTACCTGCATTCCAATATTAGAGTGCCTGGTTCAAGTTCTGGATACTCTGCTTCCCATCCAGCTACCTGCTTGAGTCCCTGTCACCTACACAGGATACTGGGATTGAGTTCTAGCCTCCTAACTTTGCCTTGGCCCATCCCTAGCTGTTGTAGGCATTTGGAAAGTGAATCAGAAGATGGGTACTTATTCTGTCTGTCTCTCTGTATGTGCATGTATGTATGTATGTGTGTAGGTGTGTTTACCTTTCAAATAAATAAACTTTGAAAAATACAACTATCCCTTATGAGAAACAAATTAGGGCAGTCATCAGCAGAGTATAGGAGATAGATCAGACAGTTGAGTATTTTCTGAAGGTCTTTATAGGAATTTCAGGAAAACTATAGTAGTAGTCTGAAATGTAATAGAGATTCTTTTGTAACAAAGGCTATTCTGCTTCCAATTCAGCTTTTTGCTAATGTACATCCTGTAGATAGCAGGTGAAGGCTAAAAGTACTTGGGGTCACTGCTACCAGCATGAGAGACTTGGACTGAGTTCCAGGCTCTTGAATTTGGCCCGCCCCTGCCCTGGCTGTTCCTTGCATTTGGAAAGTGTAATCAGTGGGTAGAACCCAACTACTTGAGTCATTATTGCTGCCTCCCAGGGTCTACTTAGTAGGAAGCTAGAGTCAGAAGTCAGATATACAATCCAGGTATCTTAATTGCTTAGCTGAATAAATGCCTGCCTTAGTCACAATATTTTTACTAGCCAGCAATTCCAACTATTTGCATCCAGTATCCTTTACTAGGTTACCTTCCTGTCTTTTTGTTTTGGTGTTCCCCAGAGCCTTCACCTTAGCCTTATTCTTAAGTACCAATTATTTATTTGAGCATCAATTTGTTTATTCACTCAAAAATGTTTGACTATCAATGACACATTCAATGACAGGAATATAAAGAAAAACAGGAGCCAGAACTGTGGCATAGCAGGTAAACCCGCCACCTGCAGTGCCGGCATTCCACTGGGCACAGTTCAAGTTCCATCTACTCAATTTCCAATCCACCTCCTTGCTAATGTGCCTGAGAAAGCAATGGAAGATGACTCAAGTGCGTGGGCCCCTGCACCCATGTGGGAGACCTGGAAGAAGCTTCTGGCTTTCAATCAGCCCAGCCCTGGCTGTTATGGCCATTTGGGATGTGAACCAGCGGATGGAAGATCTTTCTCTTTCCCTCTGTCTTCCCTCTCTGTAACTCTTTCAAATAATAAATAAAGAAGTCCTTAAAAACAAAAAGAAGGGGCTGGTGCTGTGGGTTAAAGCCCTGGCCTGAATTCTCTATCCTGCTTTTCAGCCAGGCAGAAATTAGGGTGCCAGTTCGAGACCCGGGTGCTCCTCTTCTGATCCAGCTCTCTGCTATGGCCAGGGAAAGCAGTGGAGGATGGCCCAAGTCCTTGGGCCCCTGCACCCGCGTGGGAGACCTGGAAGAACTTCTGGCTCCTGGTTTCAGATAGATGCAGCTCTGGCCATTGTGGCCATATGGGGAGTGAAAGAGCGGATAGAAGACCTCTCTCTCTCTGCCTCTCCTTCTATCTCTGTGTAACTCTTGACTTTCAAGTAAATAAATAAACCTTTAAAAAAACTATTTTATTTATTTCAAAGGCAGAGTGACAGAGAGAGAGGTAGACAGACAGAGAGAGAGATCTTCCATCTGCTGATTCACTCCCCAAAAGGCTAGAACAGCTGATGCTGGACCAGCTGACCGCCAGGAGCACAGAACTCTATCCAGATCTCCCACATGAGTGGTAGTGATCCAAGTACTTGGGACAGCCTCTGCTGCTTTCCCAGGTGCATTAGCAGAGAGCTGGATTGCAAATGAAGTAGTTGGGATTCAAACAGGATGCCTGTGTTGCAGGTGGTGGCTCAATCCACTAAGCCACAATATTGGTCCCATGAGGGTACTTCTAAACGCTCACAGAAAAATGGAATTAAGTGGCTGGCACTGGGGCATAGCAGATAAAGCCACTGCCTGCAGTGCTAGCATCCCATATGGGTACCAGTTCCAGTCCTGGTTGCTCTATTTTGGATCCAGCTCTCTGCTAATGCACCTGGGAAAGCAGTAGAAGTTGGCCCAAGTGCGTGAGCCCCTGCACTCATGTGGGAGACCTAGAAGAAGCTCCTGACTCCTGGCTTCAGATGGGCCCAGCTCCAGCCACTGTGGCCATCTGGGAAGTGAACCAGTGGATAGAAGACCTGTCTTTCTCTCTGCCTCTGCCTCTCTGTAACTCTGCCTTTCAAATAAACAAATAAATCTTTGGAAAAAAAGGGAATTCATTAAAAAATTTTTTAAAATGGAATCAAAAATTTTGCATTTTTAAACTAATCCATTTTTTAACAAAAAAACTTATTGCATTTATTTGAAATGTGACAGAGATGGGGTGAAACAGAGAGAAAGATATCTTCCATCACTGGTTCACTCCCCAAATGGCAACAATGGCCAAGGTATTCTAGATGCATTAGCAGGGAGCTGGATTGGAACCAAAAACAGCCAGTACTCGAACTGGTACCAGTGTCACAGGTGGTAGCTTAACTGCTGTGCCACAATACTGGTCCAAAAAATAAGTTTATTTTGTTGCAAAATTTTTTGAAATCCATGCATTTTCTCATAATATGCACTTTCCGCGAACTTTCTGAAGATACCTCATATATTTCTGGCACTCTGCTAGTCCTTGGGAAAATAAATATAAGTAAGACACAGTCTCTCTAGGAGGACACAAAGTCAGATGTATAAATAACTATGCCATAACAATAACAATTATGAAAGTTGATTTAATTTTTCTGGGGGAGGTACGGAGAATAGAAAAATGGTTATTTTGAGTAATCTGCTTAGTCTTTTTTTTGATCAGTCTTTATGAAGAAATACAAAATGTTCTGGAAATACAAGTGGAAATTTACCACTGAAGGGAAGAAAGCATTACAGAAAGAGGACAAAGACTATAAAGAGATATGATGGTGGGGCCGGCGCCATGGCTCACTTGGTTAATCCTCTGCCTGTGGCGCCAGCATCCCAAATGGGCGCCTGTTCTAGTCCCGGTTGCTCCTCTTCCAGTCCAGCTCTCTGCTGTAGCCTAGAAAAGCAGTGGAGGATGGCCCAAGTGCTTGGGCGCCTGCACCCACATGGGAGATCAGGAAGAAGCACCTGGCTTCTGGCTTCAGATCGGCATAGCTCCGGCTGTAGCGGCCATTTGGGGAGTGAACCAATGGAAGGAAGACCTTTCTCTCTGTCTCTCTCCCTCACTGTCTAACTCTATCTGTCAAATAATAATAATAAAAAAAAGAGATATGATGGCACAGGATTTAGTACACAACAGTGAAGGTGGCAAAAATCTATTTTGGGTGTGGGAGCCAGTCACTGGAGATGAGACTAAATAAATGGGTTGGGCTTGCTTGTAAAAGATTTTAAAATCTAGGTACTACTTCTATGGTACCATGTTTACAGATAGAAAAATTAAGGAGGCTATGAATTTAAACAACTTGCCCATGGTAAGTCATTTAGTAAGTGGAAGAGCCATGACTCATACTCTGTCTATATTCTGAATCCCTACACTTACATGACTGTGAACAAGGAGGCAACTGGAAACTGGCACATTTAATCCTTTATATGCGGAAGCTGAATTATTTCTGCTCTTTTAAGACCCAGAAATAGTGGCCAGCGTCGTGACAGAGTGGGTTAAGCCACTGCCTGCAATGCTGGCATCCCATATCAGAGTAGTAGTTTGAGTCTGGCTGCTCCACTTCCTTCCGATCCTGCTCCCTGCTAATGTGCCTGGGAAAGCAGTGGAAGATGGTCCAAGTGTTTGGGCTCCTGCCCCCATATGGGAGATTTGGATGACATTCCAGGCTCCTGGATTCAGCCTGAACCAGCCCTGGCTGTTGCAGCCATTTGAGGAGTGATCCAGTGGATGTAAGATCTCTCTTTCTCTATGTATCTCCCTTTCTCTCTCTGTTATTCTGCCTTTCAAAATAAACAAATCTTTAAGACTCATATTTCTTCCTCCTTATCATTCTAGCTTTGAGCAAAATGGACATAATAATAGCCCCTTTAACAAATATATAGATCAAAGATTCACACACAGCAAATCTGGTGACAAACACATACTCTGCACAGGTTCCATTTCCACTGAATGCCTCTGTCTATTTACCTAGGCTCACTTCTTCTGCTCACTACTCTTCATCCAACTATTTCAATAGATAAACTGAGAATATATTAAAGATTAAACAGTAGGAATAAAAAGAAGCAACATTTAAAGAGGGCTTCAAAAAGTTTATGGAAAATTCACATTATCTTTGAATTCCAGTTTCTACAACCTTTTTGAAGACTCCTCATATTAAATGACTGAAAATATACTCATTTCATACCCCTTAATGCACTAATACATTGCAGTTCTTTAAGTCAGCCCAATGTAGTCTGAATTAAGGACAGTAAATGATAAACATCTGAAAGGTGGTGATGACCTTCATAGATGATTCTTACCATTGTAGGTTGCACTGTTTTTCACAATGAGTTCCAAATGCTCTCTGAATTCTTCCCGAGATGGATAAAGGCGTTTACGCACATTTTCACGGAGTGTTTGTAGGTCCATTGGTCGGGTAATAATTTTGTAGTAGTCCTTCACAACCTTGGCATTGACTGGAGTGTGAAAAGGGTACGTCTGTGCAAACAAAAACCAGCACCACTCATGAGCAAAAATTTACCAGAGAAAATTCCTGAAGACTCTCTCACATCTTACCTCTCTACGTTTCTATCAACTCTCAAAGGAGTATTTCCAGGTTGGAGTAGGTCTTTTGTTCTCTACTAAACTGTTAAACAACAATAACCACCACTACCACCACCACCACCACCACCACCTACATCCCAAAGAATTAGGAGTTCCAGGTACCTTGGGTTATAAACTACTACTCCATCTGAACTAAGACAGAACAAGGGGCCTTGTCATCCTTACTGTAGCTATCCAATGCAGTGACTCACATTTGGAAGATCTCTCATGTCATTGATGATAGACTCCAAGATGGATGACAATGTCACCATAGGATCTGTCCGGCGCCGGTGGATGGACTTATGAGGTCTCTAAAGAGAAACAAGAAATCAGAATGCTTTTTTACATCCAAAACCAAACATTTTCTAAATAGACAAACATATTTTAGAAATCTTGTAAAGAACAGAACACCTAAGTTCTCTGGGGGAAGGCCAAAAGGCAGAATCAAGTCTGTCAGAGCCACATTACAGAAAGCCAGGGGAATCAATGAGAATTAACTTGATCAGAGGACAGCAATGCAGATACTCACATTCAGATAGTCACAATGAACAGTGGTTCCAACCCGCCGTTTCTTCTTGGGAGGAAGCTGCTGTTTAGGGAACTTGAGAACCAGTGACTTTCTGCGAACCTCATCCGCACTGCAATCAATAACACTTTTCTTAGCGTAGAGCAACTATTTCCAGATCCCAGAAAAAAAAAGCAACTACACTGAAAAAGCCCAAGTACCTGAGCATGAGCCCATGGTGGGGGCAAGGGAAACCGAATCAAGGCCAGATATCACCCTATAAGGTTCAGATCAGGCAAGGTCTTAGGGGATTCTCCAAATTAATAAAGAACTACCCAAGTCACAACTTTACCTTAGTTTTCTATTTGGAAGGTAAGAGAACTAGGCTAATGGAATTTTTTTTTTTTAAATTTTACTTATTTGTTTGAGAGGGAGAGAGACAGAGAAATCTTCCATCCTCTGGTTCATTCCCCAGACAGCCACAATGGCCAGGGCTGGGCCAGGTGGGAGCCAGGAGCTTTATCCAGGTCTCCTGTGTGGGCACAGGGGCCTAGGCCATCTTCTGCTGCTTTCCTAGCAACATTAGCAGGCAGCTAATGTATCTAGTGAAGTGAAGCAGCCAAAGCTTGAACTGGTGGCCCACAAGGGTGCTCCACTGCAGACAGTGGCTTAACCCACGTGCCACAGCACCAGCCTCTAAACAATTTTGAGAATTCTTCTAGCTAAACATGTATCTTAGAATTAAAGGGCCAGTCGCTTCTCATCCTTTTGGCTAAGATCAAGTGTAGAATTAAAGGGCTAGGAAACTCAACTCATTCAGAATGAAATTTAGAAATTCATTAAAAACCAGTTTGAAATAAAAACCAATCTGGGTTTCCTTCAATCATTGAAGACCATCAACTTCTTGCCTTCCACTGTAAGAGATCAAGATATTAAATTTCCTTTTCTAATGAGCTTCAAAAAACATTACTATTACAGATAACTGATCAATTAGTAAGGATGGAATAAAGAACCTAAAGCTGAATACAAATAGGAATAAATTAATCTAAATATATCAAAATTATTTTTAAATTACACACACAGAAAGAATTAATTCAAATATATTTTGGGGGCCAACATTGTGGCATAGCAGGTAAAGCTGCCGCCTGTTGCACTGGCATCAAGTATGGGTGCCAGTTTGAGTCTCGGCCGCTCCACTTCCAATCCAGCTCCCTGTTAAACCTGGGAAAGCAGGGGAGGGTGGTCTAAATACCTGGGCCCCTACACCCATGTGGGAAACCCAGGAGAAGCTCCTGGCGCCTAGCTTTGGATCAGCCCAGCTCCAGCCATTGCAGTGAAATGGCAGATACCTCTCTGCAACTCTGCCTTTCAAATAAATAAATCTTTATAAATATATACAAATAACATATGTGTGTGTGTGTATATATATATATATATATGCATAAAACAGAACATAATGTTCTGAGTACACAACTTGTGCACGTAGTCCAAGGATAACACACTAAAAAAATTCTTGAGGGATGGGCATTGTGACGCAGCAAGTTCAGCTGCCACTTGGAATGTCTGCATCCCCTATCAAAGTGTCTGGTTAAGTCTCAAGTAATGCACACTTCCCATCTTGTTCCCTGTTAATAACGCACCAAGTAGGCACTGGATAACGGCCCAGGTACCTGGTTTCCTGCCTGTCATGTGGGAGACACAGATGAAGTTCCTCGCTCCTGGCTTTGGCATTGCCTAGCCCTAGCTGTCGTAGGTATTTGGGAAATGAACCAGTAGATGGATATAGCTCTCTGTGTCATTCTTTCAAATAATTAACTAACGAAATACATAAATAAATAAAATCTTTAAAAAACAGACTTCCTTTCAAAATAAAAACCACCTTGAATCTACTTTATACATCTATTTTGGTAGTGTCATGAGTATAGCAATTATTTTTCCATTGCAATTTAAAGGTATTTTTATATTTTCGTATTTTCTTGTATATATTTTAATTAGTTTTTAAGATTCAATGTGGGGGCCGGTGCTGTGGCACAGCAAATTAACGCCCTGGCCTGAAGCACCAGCATCCTACATGGGTGTGGGTTCAAGACCCGGCTGCTCCACTTCTGATCCAGCTCTCTGCTATGGCCTGGGAAAGCAGTGGAGGATGGCCCAAATCCTTGGGCCTCTGCACCCACGTGGGAGACCCAGAAGTCCTGGCTCCTGGCTTCGGATTGGTGCAGCTCCGGCCGTTGTAGCCAATTGGGGAGTGAACCAGCAAATGGAAGACCTCTCTCTCTGTCTCTCCTCTCTCTGTGTAACGCTTTCAAATAAATAAATAAGTAAAAAAGATTGAATGTGATTTGTAAATACGATTCCAAGAACCTAATGATATTCCCTTCCTCTATCCCTCTATCCTTTTTTTTTTTTTTTTTTTTTTTTTAGTTTTTGAGATAAAAAGTATTTTTAAAATATTTCTTTTAAAGGCAGAAAGAATTATCTCCTTCACCATCGCCTGCTCTCTCCCAGGGTGTACATTAGCAGGAAGTTGGAATTTTGAGCATAGCCAGGACTCAAATCCAGGCACTCTGATATAGAATGAGGGTATCCCAAGCAACATCTTAACTTCTACACCAAATGCCTGTTCCTTGGTATAGCAACACTACTTTGTACTTATCATTGGACAGAGTAAATTAATTATCATATTGATGCTAGGAATTAGAAAAAAAGGATACAAATATGAAATGAAGGAGAAGAAGGAAGAAATCTGTAGATATAATTTGAAATGGAGGTTAAAAAAATGGAGGTAAAGTTGTACCTTAAAGTATGTTATTTCCTAGCTCTGTCCACAAAACAGCCTAGAAGCAATGACATCTCAGTGGCAATGAGTATATCTAATGCCTAGATTTTTGTTTCTAAATACCATACCCTGGTAAGAAGATTTGGACTCCTTGATGAAATGGTCAAGTCTAGGTATGGAACAAGAAAAGTTCAAGGACAGTCTGTAACACCTGTGTCAGAAAGCAAGAAAGTTCTCAAAGATTTATAGTTCGGGGCCAGTGCTGTGGCCTAGCAAATAAAGCCACTGCCTACAGTGCCAGCATCCTAAATGGGCACAGGTTCAAGTCCCAGCTGCTCCACTTCCGACCCAGCTCTTTGCTATGGTCTAGGAGAGCACAAGAGATGGCCCAAGTCCTTGGACCCCTGCACTGATGTGGGAGACCTGGAAGACCTGGAAGAAGCTCCTGGCTTCAGATCAGCACAGCTCCAGCCATTACGGCCATCTGGAGAGTGAACCAGTGGATGGAAGACCTCTCTTTCCCTTTCTGTCTCTCTGCAACTATGCTTTTCAAATAAATAAATTTTTAGAAAAAAGATTTGTAGGTCACCTCAAAAAAACGTAGAATCTACCTTGTAGGAATCAAATTTGGGACATTATCTTATCATCAAAATTAACAATGTTAATGAATTATATTAAATTTACAAAGGAAAGAATTTCAGAATATAGAGTAATACTTAAAAGGGAGAGGGAAAAAATTCTTATTTTATAATAAAATGCCAGCTAAAATACAACACTAGAATCAGAAAAACCACTATTTTTTAATCTCAGGGAAATAAGTGAGTCAGGCAACAATCATTAACAAACGCAAAAATTATGAAAGATTGTTAGGGAAAGGGATATACATTCACATGTTAGCAACAGAGAAAAACACAGCATTAGTTATAGGATAATCACGATAATCAAAATACTGGGAAAACTTAACATTATGTACTTCCTGATGTGGTACAACAAACTACATGATATCACTTACATATGATATTAAATGTCTTCCCCAAAACACTTTATCTGAATCTACTCAATGAGAAAACAGTAAGACAAATCCAGAATATGGGAAACTTTCATTCTGCACTGACTGCATTCTTCAAATGATTTATTGTTAGACAAAACATAAAATATGGAAAGGACAGTTCTAGATTAAGATTTGTTGTGGTGGGGCCGGTGCTGTGGCACAGTGGGTTAATGCCCTGGCCTGCAGCACCGGCATCCCATATGGGTGCCGGTTCGAAACCCGACTACTCCACTTCCCATCCAGCTCTCTGATATGGCCTGGGAAAGCAGTAGAAGATGACCCAACTCCTTGGGCCCCTGCTGCACGTGGGAGACCTGGAAGAAGCTCCTGCCTCCTGGCTTCGGATTGGCACAGCTCCAGCCATTGCGGCCAATTGGGGAGTGAACCAGTGGACCTAAGATGTCTCTCCTTCTCTGTAACTCTGCCTTTCAAATAAATAAAAATCTTGGGACCAGTGCTGTGGTGTAGCAGGTAAAGTTGCCACCTGCAGTGCCAGCATCCCATAGGGGCACGGGTTCTAGACCCAGCTGCTTCACTTCCAATCCAGCTCTCTGCTGAGGTCTGGGGAAGCAGTAGAACATGGCCCAAGTTCTTGGGCCCCTGCACCCACATGGGAGACCCAGAAGAAGCTCCTGACTCTGGCTTCAGATCAGCCCAGCTCCGGCCATTGTAGCCATTTAGGGAGTGTACCAGCAGATGGAAGATCTGTCTCTGTCTCTGCCTCTCTGTAACTCTGCCTTACAAATAAATAAATAAATCTTTTAAAAAAAGAAAATTAAAATAATGATTCAATACATTTAAATGTTTGAACTAGATCTAGATATTAGAGAATTAATCTTACTTTCCTTACATGTATTATGTGCATTACATGTTTTATATTACTATGTAATTACATGTATTTTGTATATGAAATACATGTATTACATAATACATAGTATTATGTTGTTATATCCTTATTCTTAGAGAAAATGCATACCAAAAAATTTAGGAGAGGGGACCGGTGCTGTTGCATAGCAGGTAAAGCTACTGCTTGCAGAGTTGGTATCCCACATGGGCACTGGTTCCAGTCCCTGCTGTTCCACTTCTGATCCAGCTCCCTGATAATGTGCCTGGGAAAGCAGCGGAAGATGGTCCAAGTTCGTGGGCCCCTGAACCCATGTGGGTACCAGGAGGAAGATCCTGGCTTCTGGCTTCTGATAGGCCCAGCTCTGGCCATTGCAGCCATTTGGGGAGTGAACAAGCAGATGGAAGACCTTTCTCTCTCTGTCTCCCCCTCTCTCTGTAACTCTGCCTTTCAAATAAATGAATAATTCTTAAAAAAAAAAAAGATAATGAGGAAAACAAAGCTATTAAAAAAATTTAGGAGGGAAATGTTATAGTGTTTTTAACTTCCATCTAGTCCAGCAAAAAAAAAAAGTTTAAGGTATATAAAGATAAAGCAAATGAGGCAAAATGTTAACTGGAATAGTATACAATATGTTTTTCTTTTTTTACATGTTTTCAACTTTTCTAAAGGTTTACAATTTTCAAACTAGTAAGGGAAAAAAATTTTAACCGTCTCTATTTTGTTATCTATTATAAACTCTATGAGGGCAAGGAGACATGCATAAGGATTATTTGTCTCTTCATTCTTTTGGGATGGTCCACTATCAGAACACTCTGAGATTAGGGACTTTGCAAATACTGAGTAGGCCATGAAGTAGTATAGGAAAAGTGAATTAACATCTATTGAACAACTATGTATTACAGGAACTGTACTCTTTTATAGTCTTTCTTTTATCTTTTTTTTAAAGATTTATTTATTTATTTATTTAAAAGTCAGTGTTAGAGGGAGGGAGAGACAGAGAGAGAGAGAGATCCTCCATCTGTCAGTTCACTCCCCAGATGACCACAAGAGCTGAGGCTGGACTAGGCCAGAGCCAGGAGCCAGGAGCCCAAGCACTTGGACCATCTGCTGCTGCTTCTCCCAGGCCATTAGCAGAGTTGGATTGGAAGTGGCACAGCTGGGACTCAAACTGGCATCCATATGGGATGCAGGCATCTCAGGCAAGGCTTTGTCCACAATGCTAGCTCCTTATTTCATTGTCTTAACTACTTTGTTAAGAGCACTTTTATCTCGTAACTAAGGAAACTAAGACTCAGAACAAAGTTATGTAAGGGCTGGTCTTGTGGTGCGAAGTAAGACTTCTGGCATCCCCCAACTGGAGTGCTGATTTAATTCCCAGCTGCTCTGCTTCCAAATCAGCTCTCTGCTAATGTATCTGGGAAAGCAATGGATGATGGCCCAAATACCTGGGATCCTGCCACCCACATGAGAGACTCAAAGTTCCAAGCTCCTGGCTTCAGCCTGGCCCAGCCCCAGACATTGCAACCATTCAGGCTATGAACAAGTGCATGGAAGCTCGTTCACTCTCTCAGTAAGCCAGCAGGTGGAGGACCTCTGTGTATGTCTCTCCCCCTATCTCTCTGTCATTCTGTCTTTCAAATAAACAGAACAAATCTTAAAAAAGAAAGAAAAATTAGGTAGTACATCTAAGGGCAACAGGCACAACCAGAATTATTAAGGGAAATCCATCAAAGCTTCTGTAACCTCAGTTCTACTTTGGAGAACATATCCCATCTGCCCCTGCCACCCACCAATATCACCAACCTCCAACAGCTCTCCCCTGCACCACTTCCTATTTCTCACCTCTCAATTAGCTGTTTCCCCAAGACAATCTTGGTCCCTTCAACCTTGATAAGTTCTTCATTATCATTATGAATGACTGTCTTTTCCAACTCTTCCTCCTGCTCCTCTGTCATGGCAACAGGGTTGGAAGGTGGAGCGTTTGTTTGATAATAGAGGGGGCAAAATTTGTTTGTCCTCATGTGCCCAATTGCACCACATGCACCACATTTCAGCTGCAAAAGAAAAGGTATCAACATATCAGAGGTAAGCAGTTAGCAAGGCCGGGGAGAAACAAGGAGAGCTTCAGAACTTTTGCTCAAACAGAACTGTTATGCCCCTATCAACCAGAAGCCACTGGACAAAACACATGTACAAGGAGGACACATGAAAAACAAAATGAAATCTATAGAGACTAAACGTTCCTTTGAAAATCAAGTAAGGAAGAAAAGGTATACTCCAAATCTAAGTTATAAAGCTTGGGACACTCACACCCTATCAGAATGTTTGGTTTCAGTACCAGCAATTCTGATTCCAATCCAGGTTTCTGCTAATCTGCCCAAGAGGCAGCAGATGATAGTTCAAAGTGCTTAGGTCCTTGCTACCCATATGGGAAACCTGGATGGAGTTTCTGACTCCTGGTTTTGGTCTAGTCCAGCCCTGACTGTTGAAGGCCTTTAGGGGAGTGAACCAGTGAATCGAAGATCTCTGTTTCTCCCTCTCTCTGTCACCCTGCCCTTCAGCTCTGCAACTGAGTGACTCGGGTAAACTAGACCTCCGTTTACCTGGAAAATGGGGCCAATACTATATCACATTTACCTAATATCACACATTAAGTGGGGAACATTAAAATACTGACTTCAATATATGTTAATAACAGCACTTAACATTTCCTGCATATTTTACAGTTCATAAAGTACTTCCCATCATTTACTGCAACGTTATGAGACAGGTATTTTATAGAAAGAGAAAACAGGTTGAGAGGTTAAGGTCAAAGTGCTATCAAGTAACAGAACTAGAACCTAATCTAGAGCTTCTGTTTCCAAGTTTATGGCCCTTTGCAGTGTACCACAGTTGCCTCATCTAATGATATACAATGCAGTCACAATGGACAGCACTATCTAAAAATTCAAAGTTATGCAAAAACAACCTGTGTGGTTTATTTTTGTTGCTTCTTTTAACATGTATAATTTTCTAAAAGGTGGGTGTATATGACTGGGTGTTTGATGCAATGGATAAGACACTGTTTGGGACACTCACGTCCCATGTAATAGTGCTTGGATTCAAGTCTTAGCTCTGCTTCCGATTGCAATTTCCTGCTAGTATGCACTCTGTGAAGCAACAGGTAATAGCTCAAGTAACTGAATCCCTGCCACCCTTATGGGAGACCCAGATTGAGTTCCCAGATCCTGGCTTTGACCTGGCCCAGCCCCAGCTATTATAGACATTTACAGAGTAAACTAGCAGATCTATTTCTTTGTCTACTTCTCTCTTTCTCTGTCCTTCAAATAATAAAATAAAAACACTAAAAATAGGGCCAGTGTTGTGTTGCACCAAGTTAAGCCACTCCCTGCAGCATTGGCATCCCAAATCAGAGCACAGCTTTGTGTCCTGGATGCTCCACTTGCAATCCAGCTACCTGCCAATGCACCTGGGAAAGAAACAAAAGATGGCTCAGATACTTGGACCCTTGGCCAACTTTATGGGAAACCCAGATGGAATTCCTGGCTCCTGGCTTTGGCCTGCCCCAGCCTTGGCCATTATGGCTATTTGTAGAATGAACCAGCAGATAGAAGATCTCTCTCTGCCTTTCAAATAAAAAATAGAAATATTTAAAAATATTAAAAATAAATCTTTAAAAAAAAAAAAGGTGTATGAGGGGCTGGTGCTGTGGCACAGCAGGTTACTGCCCTGGCCTGAAGCACTGGCATCCCATATAGGCACCGGTTCTAGTCCCGGCTGCTCCACTTCCCATCCAGCTCTCTGCTATGGTCTGGGAAAGCAGTGGAAGATGGGCCAAGTCCTTGGGCCCCTGCACCCCCGTGGCTTTGGTGTAGCGCTGGCAGTTGCAGCCAACTGGGGAGTGAACCAATGGACAGAAGACCTTTCTCTCTCTGTCTCTCCTCTCTTTGTAACTCTGACTTGCAAATAAAAATAAATAAATCTTAAAAAAAAAGAGAAGGTGTATGAGGGACAGGCATCGTGGTACAATGAGTTAAACAACTATTTGGGATACCCACATCCCACACTGCATTGCCTAGTTTGAGTCCCAGCTACTTTACGCTTCCAATTCAGCTTTCCACTAATGCGCCTGGGGAGGCAGCAGATGATGGTCCAACTGCCTGGGTTCCTGCCACCCATGTGGGAAAAGTAGATGCAGTTCCTGGCTCCTGGCATCGTTGTCTGGCTGTTGCAGGCATTTGGGAAATGAGCCAAAGTATGGAAGATCTCTCTTTCTATCCCTCTTTCAAATAAATAAATACGTATTTAAATAAAATAAAGGTATACACAGACACAGACACAGACACACGGGCATACATGTAAAAATATCCACCAAGGGACGGCACTATGGCACAGCAGTTAAGCCACTGCTTGTGATAGTACCATCCCTTATAACAGTGCCAGTGAGTCCCAGATGCTCAGCAAAGGATCCAACTCCCTGCTAATGAAGCTTGGAAGGCAGCAGATGATAGCCCAAGTGCTTGGGCCCCTGCTACCCATGTCAGACACCCAGAAAGAGTTCCTGGCTTCTGGTTTTGGCCTGGCCCAGATCTGGCTGTTGCAGCTATTTAGGAAGTGAACCGGCAGATGGAAGATCTGTCTCAGAGCGTCTAACTTGCAAATAAGTAATTCTTAAAAAAAAAATCCACCAAACCTATCTCAGTTCCTAGAAAATATTTCAAGCAAAGTATAAATGAAACCCAATGGGACCAATGGCACCAGACTGGGTTTGGTGTTGTTGGTACCACTCACACTAATAGTGATAACACCCAAGTAGCCAAATAAATTCAAACTAGCTTTCCATAATACTGTCCTCATTCCCACTAAGGTACAATGTCAAAAGCTATGGAAAACGTCCAATTTCTCCCTTTCCTTTGTTTGTTGTTATCATGCCACATTATACTTACTTTCAGGTCAGGACGCTCCTTCATTTTTTTGGGTTTCTTCTCAGGAGGACCCTTAAGTTTCTCCTTCTCCTGGTTCCTCTTAAGCCGTCTCAGTTGCTCTTGAATCCTTCGCCGTTCTTTTCGCATCTCTTCTCGATGCTGTTCGTCAAAAAGGGCAAATTTTCGACTGAATAATGGGGGGAAAGAAATCATAGCACCATAAGCAATCTTAGACCAAAAAAAGTTTTCATGACAGCTAAAATCTCAGAACTAAAAATCATCCATTCAGGCAGAAACAAAAGGAGCTACCAGCCATTCCCACCTCCCCAATCTGTCCTCTATTTGCAGAGAGGCGCCTCTCAGAGTAAGTCCTGAATAATCTTTAAGATTTTTGCAAACCAGGGGTGGCACTATGGTGCAGTGGGTAAAGCCAGGGCCTTTGATGTGGCATTTCAGACAGGCACCAGTTTGAGTACCAGCTACTCCATTTCTGATCTAGCTCCCTGCTAACGTGCCTAGGAAAGCAGCAGATGATAGCCCAAGTGCTTGGGGCCCTGCCACCCATATGGGAGATCCAAAGAAGCTCCTGGCTCCTAGCTTCAGCCCAGCCCTGCCCTGGTCATTGCAGCCATTTGGGAAGTGAAATAGTGGATTGAAGATTTTTCCCTCTCTCTGTAACTCTTTCAAATAAAATAAGCCAAAGGAAAGTTAGTTCCCAGTTATCACAAACATCCAGGAACAACTGTGCCAAATACTACAACCCAAGTAACCCTCCCTGACCCCATCCCTCACATTATTACTTTTTAAAGATTTATTTATGAGGCCAGTGCTCTGGTGTAGCAGGTAAAGCCACCGCTTGCAGTGCTGGCATCCCACATGGGTGCCAGTTTGAGACCTGGCTGCTTCACTTCGATCCAACTCTCTGCTATGGCCTGGGAAAGCAGTAGAAGTGGCCCAAGTCCTTGGGCCCCTGTACCCCTGTGGGAGACCCAAAAGAAGCTCCTGGTTCCTGGCTTCGGATCGGCACAACTCCGGCCCCTGCCGGAAGATGGAAGACCTCTCTCTCTAACTCTGACTTTCAAATAAATAAATTAATTAAAAAAAATTTACTCAGGGCCGGCACTATGGCCTCCCTCTGTGGTGCTGGTCTAAGTCCCGTCTGCTCTACTTCTTTTCCAACTCCCTGCTAACGAGCCTGAAAAGGCAGCAAAGATGACCCAAGTCCTTGGGACCCTGTCACCCATGTGGGAGATCCAGAAGAAGCTTCTGGCTCCTGGCTTCAGCCTGCCCCAGCCCTGGCCATTGCAGCCATCTGGGAAGTGAACTAGTAGATGGAAGATCTCTCTTTCTCTTGCTCTCAGTCCTTCTATATAAGTCAGCCTTTAAAAAATAAATAAAAATGAAAAAAAAAATCTTTTAAAAGACACCGCTTAGGACACCTGCATCCCATATCAGATTATCTGGGTTTGAGGCCAGATATGTGAAGCCCTGTCACCCACATGGGAGACCTAGACTGAGTCTCTGGCTTTAGCCTGGCCTAGACCCAGATGTTGAGGGCATCTGGGAGCTTTGTGTCTGCCTATTTTTCTTGTTGCTTTTCAAAATAAATAAGTAAATAATAAATAAAAGTGGTGAATCAAACCTACATGAATTCTTCATCTTTCGTGGTCCGTATGCGCACATAGGCGTCAATAACAGATGGTTTTCGGACGGTCTCACAGCGAACATACTCTTTTCCCTCCTCATCTCGAAACGTACGATAAATCTTGAGACAACGACCAGTGGCAGAGGAGTTGAGGCTAGTCACAGAAGCTGTGTCATCATCTCTGTGATTGTTTCCTGATGCTGCTGAGCCTGCTGCTGTAAGGCAGAAAAATATTTCCAAACATTTCTCCCTACCACCCAAACAGCAGTAGTCTTGGGTAGAGTAGAGGCGTCGTAGTTCAACAAGGTACTAAACTATGATTCTACAGAAACCACTGAAGACACCACTAGCCCCAGGAGGACACTGATTTGTCCTTTCCTGGCTTCATTTTACTACTGCCAATATCCCTGTTTTACAAGTACAAAAAGTTCTGAAAGAACCTCTTTCTCTTTGCTACAAAGGACAGAGGAGCAGTAGCTATAATATTCTGATTCCTCTGAAGAACAGGGCAATAGTAAAGGCCAAACATGAACTAGCTGATGATCACATTAAACAGCAACCCAAAAAGCACTTAGGGGGAAATTACACCTAAGAATCAAAGTCTTAAGGTTCAAATATGCCTCTCAAACTTTAATATGGGGCTGGTGCCATGCGCAGTAGGCTGATCCTCCACTTGCGGCATTGGCATCCCATATGGGCGCTGGTTCGAAACCTGGCTGCTCCACATCTGATCCAGCTCTCTGCTGTGGCCTGGGGAAGCAGTAGAAGATGGCCCAAGTGCTCGGGCCCCTGTACCCATGTGGGAGACTGGGAGGAAACACCTGGCTCCTGGCTTCAGATCAGCACAGCTCCGGCCGTTGCGGCCATTTGGGGAGTGAACCAATGGAAGGAAGACCTTTCTGTCTCTCCCTCTCACTGTCTGTAACTCTACCTCTCCAATAAATAAATAAAATCTTTTAAAAAAACTTTTATATGAATAGGAATCACCTGGAAATCTTAAAATGTAGATCCTAATTCAGTAGGTCTACAGTGAGGCCTGAAATTCCATAGACCCAACAAACTCCCACATGATGTAGATACTGTGGTCTAGAACCACTAAGCAAAGACCTAGCGGACCACACTGGTAGAAGCGGTCTATTCTAACAAAGTAAACATGATAATGATATTAAACAAAATGTTTACAGTGAGAAGAAAACAAAAGGAAGACACTGTGAATGAGAATAATCACCTTTAGTCTTTATCCTCTCTCTCAGTATCTACATCCAATTTTCAACTGCATTCTTGACATCTATACTCAGCAAAGTTATTGGGAACTTCAAACTCTACACATTACACATTCTCTTTTTAAACTTGCTGTGTCTCTAAAATTTATTTAATCAAAGGTACCAACATCTTTTTACTAAGCCCAGAGTGAAATAAGAAGATTACTCTCATTTTTCCCCATTTTATTCTCAGAGTACATATGCCAATGCAATTCAATCCTTTATCATCACCCCTATTTATCAACTTCTGTAATTTTTGATGGTTTTTAACTTTTTAGATATTGCTTTTGAGAATCTTCTGAAAACTATGCATCTTCTCAGAAAATGCACATTTGCACTGAATTTTACATGTAATTTCAGAGGGCTTAAGGACAACTCTCTACACTCATTGACGGGTTCTGCATTATTTTTTTTTTTTTTGACAGGCAGAGTGGACAGTGAGAGAGAGAGAGACAGAGAGAAAGGTCTTCCTTTGCCGTTGGTTCACCTTCCAATGGCCGCCGCGGCCGGCGCACTGCAGCCGGCGCACCGCGCTGATCCGATGGCAGGAGCCAGGAGCCAGGTGCTTTTCCTGGTCTCCCATGGGGTGCAGGGTCCAAGCACCTGGGCCATCCTCCACTGCACTCCCTGGCCACAGCAGAGAGCTGGCCTGGAAGAGGGGCAACCGGGACAGAATCCGGCGCCCCGACCAGGACTAGAACCCGGTGTGCCGGCGCCGCTAGGCGGAGGATTAGCCTAGTGAGCCGCGGCGCCGGCCCGGGTTCTGCATTTTAACCTTTACCCTCTGGAATGAATTCCCAGAAAGTTCATTTGAAGTACAGCACCAATAGCCCTGGCTTGGCCAGGCACCTGACACAGACAGAGGCAGTAGTGGATTACCAACATCTCTTCAATTTATTCCTCAGAGATAAGCCCAGTCCAGTTTGTAGGAATCTCTCTACCTCATCAATACTAATCCCCTACTACTTTTACCTCCAGCTTTGCCTCAGTTATGCTCTGAAGTTATTTATGCTCCTTTTCAAAATTTCACTTTTTCATCTGTGAAGAAACTACCCTCACCCAGTAGCATCCGCTGCAATTCCTTCCGCTCCTGCTCCTCCCGTTCACGTGATAGCTGAGAGCTGGTTTTCTTGTTCTGTAACATGTTTTCAATGTTCTTCCCCATTTCTTCAAAATCACTGTCTTCTGCGGAGCTGCTGTCTGTGTCAGTTGATAAGACTTCAGTTGATGACAAAACTCTTAAAAAAGAAACAATGTTAAATTAACATCAAGGGCAAGAGCAGACATAATGGCAAAGTGGGTAAAGCTGCTACCTGTGACATCAAATATTCCATACTGACGTCAGTTTGAGTCCCAGCTGCTCCACTTCTGTTCCAGCTGGTAACAGGTAACAAGTAACAGGTAACAAGAAAAACGGATGAAGATGGTCAGTGTTTGGACTACCACCACCTAGTGGGAGACCCAAATGAAGCTCTAGGCTCCAGGATCCTGGCTTCTGCTGAGTCCAGCCGTGGCCATTACAACCATCTGGGTAGTGAATCAGCAGATGGAAGATCTCTGTATCTCTCCCTCTCCATATATAACTTTCAAATAAATAAATCTTTCAAAAAATAAACATCAGGGGGCTGGCACTGTGGCATGGTAAATGGGACCGTCACATGCACTACCAGCATCCTATATGGGCACATGTTCGAGTCCTAGCTGCTCCGCTCCCAATCAAGCTCTCTGCTATGGCCTGGGAAAGCAGCAGAGGATAGCCTGGATCCTTGGGCCTCTGCACCCACTTGGGAGACCTGGAAGAGGCTCCTGGCTTCAGAATGGCACAGCTGTGGCTGTTGCGGCCATCTGGGGAGTGAACTAGAAGATGGAAGACCTCTTTCTCTCTCTCTCTGCCTCTCTGTAACTCTGCCTTTCAAATAAATAAATCTTTAAAAAAAATAAACACTGGGGGAATAATATGACATTATAGAAAGAGCTAAAGAAATATGGTTACAGGGCCGGCGCTGCGGCTCACTAGGCTAATCCTCCACCTTGCGGCGCTGGCACACCGGGTTCTAGTCCCGGTCGGGGCACCGGATTCTGTCCCGGTTGCCCCTCTTCCAGTCCAGCTCTCTGCTGTGGCCAGGGAGTGCAGTGGAGGATGGCCCAAGTGCTTGGGCCCTGCACCTGCATGGCAGACCAGGAGAAGCACCTGGCTCCTGCCATCAGATCAGCGCGGTGCGCCGGCCGCAGCGCACTGGCCGCAGCGGCCATTGGAGGGTGAACCAACGGCAAAGGAAGACCTTTCTCTCTGTCTCTCTGTCTACTCTGCCTGTCAAAAAAAAAAAAAAAGGAAGAAATATGGTTACAGACAAGAGAAGAAAATAGGAAAATCAACCTTATAAAGGCAAATTCAAAACCCACTAATGCAGGGGACTAGCGTTACGGCATAGCAGGTAAAGCCACCACCACCTGAGAATGCCAGTATCTCACATGGGTGCCGGTTCAAGTGCCAGCTATTCTATTTTCAATCCAGCTCCTTGCTAATGGCCTGGGAAAGCAGCAGCAGATGGCCCAAGTGCTTGTGCTCCTACACCCATGTGGAAGACTTGGATGAAGCTCCTGGTTTTGGCCTGGCTCAGGCCTGGCCATTGCGGCCATCTGGGGAATTAATCAGTGGATGGAAGACCTTTCTCCTTCACTCTGTCTCTCCTGCTCTCCCTGTAACCCAAACTTTCAAATAAATAAGTAAATAAATCTTAAAAAATCCATTAATGTATGGGGTCCTTAAAAGAAAAACTTTACAAGAGCCAGCACTGTGGCAAAGCAGGTTAAATTGCTGCCTCAAATACAGGCATTCCATATGGGTGCTGGTTTGAGACCTGGCTGCTCTATTTCTGATCCAGCTCCCTATTAATGTGCCTGGGAAAGTGGTGGAAGATGGCCCAAGTGCTCGGACCTCTGCACCCATGTGGGAAACCCAAATGAAGCTCCTGGCTTCTACCTCCCCTATCCCCTGCTGTTGTGGCCATTTGGAGAGTGAACCAACAGATAAATGATCTGTCTCTCCAACTCTTTCAAATAAATAAAAATAAATATGAAAAAATAAAACTTTGTAATGTTTTCCTAAGCATTCAAAAATGCAAGTTTATTCATTTTTAAAGACCTATTTTATTTATTGAAAGGCAGAGTTAAGAGAAACAGAGAGAGATCTTCCATCCACTGATTCACCTCCCAAAAGGCTACAATGGTGGAGGCTGGGCTAGGCCGAAGGCAGAATCCAGGAACTCCATTCAGGTCTGCCACATGGGTGGCAGGAGCCTAAGCACTTGGTCTATCTTCTGCTGCTTTCCCAAGCACATCAGTAGGGAGCCGGATCAGAAGTAAAGCAGCTGGAACTTGAACCAATTTGGGCAACCATCTGGAATGCCAGCATCACAGGCAGTAGCTTCAGTTGTTGTACAACACCACAACGCTGACCGCAATAAGGCAAGTTTAAAAAACTATAACTCTTGGGCCGGTGCCATGGCTCACTAGGCTAATCTTCCACCTGCAGCGCCAGCACACCAGGTTCTAGTGCCGGTCGGGGCGCCGGATTCTGTCCCGGTTGCCCCTCTTCCAGGCCAGCTCTCTGCTGTGGCCAGGGAGTGCAGTGGAGGATGGCCCAGGTCCCTGGGCCCTGTACCTGCATGGGAGAACAGGAAAAGCACCTGGTTCCTGGCTTCAGATCAGCGCAGTGCGCGGCCATTGGAGGGTGAACCAATGGTAAAAGGAAGACCTTTCTCTCTGTCTCTCTCTCTCTCACTGTCCACTCTATCTGTCCAAAAAAATAAGAAAAGACCAAAACAGCTTATAACTTCTTGGGGCTGGCGCTGTGGTGCAATGGGATAATGCCCTGCACTGAAGTGCCGACATCCCATATGGGCACCGGTTCTAGTCCCAGCTGCTTCTCTTCTGATCCAGCTCTCTGCTGTGGCCTGGGATAGCAGCAGAAGATGGCCCCAGTTCTTGGGCCCCTGCACCCATGTGGGAGACCCGGAAGAAGCTCCTGGCTCCTGGCTTCGGATCCACACAGCTCTGGCTGTTGTGGCCATCTGGGGAGTGAACGAGTGGATGGAGGACCTCTCTCTCTGTCTCTCTGTCCCTACCTCTCTCTGTAACTCTGACTTTCAAATAAACGAAATAAATCTTTAAAAAAAAAAAACTACAACTCTTTGAGAATTCCTGGAGAGAACTTGAGAAACAAATCAGTACATTAACCATTTTTAATATCATATTTCCATTTTCTCACAACTATGCCTTCAGAAAATAACCCTGTGGGGGCCGGCGCTGTGGCATAGTGGGTAAAGCTGTCACCTGTAGTGCCAGCATCCCATATGGGCACCGGTTCAAGTCCTGGCTTCTCTACTTTTGATCCAGCTCTCTGCTATGGCCTGAGAAAGCAGTATAAGATGGCCAAAGTCCTTGGGGCCGTGCACCCACATGGGAGTCCAAGAGGAAGCTACTGGCTCCTGGCTATGGATCAGCGCAGCTCCAGCCATTGCAGCAAATTGGGAAGTGAACCAGTGGATGGAAGACCTCTCTCTCTCTCTCTCTCTGCCTCTCCTCTCTCTGTGTAACTCCAACGTTCAAGTAAATAAATGAATCTTTAAAAAAAAAAAAAAAAGAACTGTATCACTTGTCACCATTATTGTTAATTTTTCTTTTGACAGGCAGAGTGGACAGTGAGAGAGAGAGATAGAAAGGTCTTCCTTTACTGTTGGTTCACCCTCCAATGGCTGCTTGCGGCAGCACGCTGTGGGCAGCGCACCGCGCTGATCCAAAGCCAGGAGCCAGGTGCTTCCTCCTGGTCTCCCATGCAGGTGCAGGGCCCAAGCACTTGGGCCATCCTCCACTGCATCCCAGGCCACAGCAGAGAGCTGGACTGGAAGAGGGGCAACTGGGACAGAATCTGGCGCCCCAACCGGGACTAGAACCCAGTGTGACGGCGCCACAGGCGGAGGATTAGCCTATTGAGCCATGGCGCCAGCCCACTTGTCACCATTATTCTGGCCCTAGGCCAAAGTAGGTTCCAAGAGCTGCCATGGAACTTCCTTATAGCTCAAGCTTAGTACTTCTTGCCATTCAAAATCTTTACCAAGCTGCTTTGAAGGAAGCAGGTACTCTAGTGGTATCATTATAAAAATTATGACACTCAGCCTGACATCTCAAGATACCTGACCACCTCATGGTATTTTTAGGTGACAATCTATCTCTTCACTATAAAACTGTGTCTGGGAGGCCAGTGTTGTGGCATAGTATGTTAAGCTGCCACCTGAAACACCAGCATCCCATACGAGCATCAGTTCAAGTGCTGGTTACTCCACTTCTGATTCAGCTCCCAGCTAATGGGCCTGGGAAAGCAACAGAAGATGGCTCAAGTGCTTGGGATCCTGCCCTACCATGTGTGAGACCTGGATGGAATTCCAGGCTCCTGGCTTTGGTCTGGCCCAGCCTTGGCCCACTGTGGCCATTTGGGGAGTAAATCAGCGGATGGAAGCGCTGTCTCTGTCTCTCCCCCTCTCTCTGTAACTCTATTTTTCAAATAAATAAATCTTAAAAAGAAAAAAGCAGAATCTGTGACTTCTTCCCTTTCCAGCTTGAATTTTTAGCAATGTTAAAGCAACACACTTGTTCTGCAGGTCAAAGATGCGCTGACATTCCTCTTTGTAACGCTCTTGATGCTCAGCCACAGAAAACCTTGATCCGCGAGCAAATTTACTCATGGGCCCCTCTCCAGAGCGAGCCTGTTCTGTTGACATTGTGCGTACCACATCAATCACTTCCCAGCGGGACAACTTTTTGATCTAGGAGACAAACACACACAAATATATGTACACAAATCACTCACAAATTTCAAAACACAAACCATAGCACACAATTAGAGATGGAATAACAACAGAAATCATCCCAAGGATCCATTGTTGTGGTGCTGCATGTTACGTTAGTAGCCACTTGCAATGCCAGCATCCCATATGGGTACTAGTTCAAGTCCTGGTTATTGCATTTCCAATCCAGCTCCCTGCTAATGTGCCTAGTAAAGCAGTGGAAAATTATCCAAGTACTTGAGTCCTTGCCACTCATGTGGGAGACCCAGATGAAGTTCTCAACTTCAGCCTGGCTCAGCCCTGGCTTTTGTAGCCATTTGAGGAGTGAACCAATGCATAGAAGCGCTCTCTCTCTCTCTCTCTCTCTCTTCCTCCTTCTGTCACTCTGCCTTTCAAATAGAGAAAATAAAATTAAAAAAAAAAATCATCCTGGGTAAAGCCGCTGCCTGGGACACTGGCATCCCATATAGGTGCTGGTTTGAGTTGTGACTGCTCTACTTCCAATCCAGCTCCCTGGTAACGGCCCGGAGAAAGCAGTAGAAGATAGCCCAAGTGCTTGGGCCCCTGCACCCACGTGGGAGATCTGGGTAAAGCCCCTGGTTCCTGTCTTCAGCCTGGCCCAGCCCTGGTTGTTGCAGCCATTTGGAGAGTTAACTAGTGGATGAAGTTCTCTCTCTCCCTCCCCTGGACCATAACTCTTTCAAATACATAGATAAATAAGTAAATGAAATCATCCCAAAGCAGGCTAAACAGAAAACACCAGGAAAGCCAACTCCTGAAAAAGTATCCACGTGGCCTACTGCAATTTACAAAAAAAATTCTCCACATAGTTCTTTACATCTGCTTCCTAGCCTTTCCCTCTCTAAACCTCCAAGAGCATTGAAATTTTCTTTTCCCACACCTACCTCTTCCTCGGGTACACCAAATTTACGCAGAAGTTGCTTGGCATTTTTCAGAGAAAGGCGACGAAGGTCTGCATCTGTTCCTGTCACTGTCTTCTTCACTGGCTGAGGCTCCTTATCATCCTACATTAAACGAGCAGATTAGAGTCTTAAGAATCCTTAGGCTCTTTAAGAAGCCTAAGCATCTAGGTTATTCTGCCACCTCAACTACTTCCCCAGCTCTCCACTCCATGCATCTCTACTCCTTAACATGCATTTCTTCCTCCTTTGATTCTTTTTTTTTTTTTTTTGAGAAATTCAGACAATCTCACCTTCTGCTGTGTTGGTTTATTTGGAATCTTCACATAGGAGAATCCTTCACCACACCCTGTGGGATCTGCCACCCCAGTGACCTCCAGGAGACACTTGCCCTTCATAGCAGCAATGAATGCTCTAGTGGTATTCCAGGGAGCAGTGCGAACCTGAGGTACAGAAGAAGGTTTTCAGGGCTATAGAAAAGTAGTGCTCTATGTCTAGCCGCTGCCTAGGATAGAATAATCGCAATGAACAATTACATGGTTTCTTAGACTGGCTACAAAGATTAATATTTAAATATGGCTGCCAAAACTCAGCTCTTCTTTCCTATGACAGTTAAATGATATTAAATAGAAGTCAAAAGTTCAGCCAGGATAGGAGAAATATGAGGAAGACTGAGTGATACCTCTGTGGCTTCATGTCCTTTGGGCTTCACTAAGCAGTCTCAAAAATAGCTTTGTACCCACCCTCATGATCCACAAAGTCAGAGTAATCACTACAGTTGGCTGTTCAAATACTCAAATGACTTCTTCAAAATGAAGTATTATTCTCAAACCAGATGATTTGCATGCTTTGAAAGCAATGGTCCCAACCCTAGTAGCACTAAATCAAAATCCATTCTACCTCTGCAACTGGTTTGGCCAAAAAGGTCTGTACTCTCCTGGGATCTTGAATTTTATCTACTGTCCTCACAAAGCAGAGAATTAAGACAAAAGGCAAATGTGCTTACCCATAAAAACCAGTAAAGAATATGCATGATTAGCTAGAAAATGGTCAATTCGCTACTCAAGATTCAACTCTTAAGGTTATTCATTTTCAAAAGAATTCTTAACCTCTGAAATTCTTGTGATACCCACTGATTTTTAATTCCAACTTCAAGAGAGTAGTACAATGTTTCTTTATTCACTCTGACTTAATTTTTTGATGTTTCTTACAATCAATTCACTCATTTATCAAATATTTATTCAGTACCTACTACATGTCAGGCACCAGTTTCTCATGGACCTCATTTTTAGCAAGAGAAAAACAAATAGACAACTAAATTCAATACTGTGGGATCAATGCCATGATAACAAATTTAAAGGTACTATATGTACATAAAGAAGGATCATCATCCATTCTGAACCCAGTGTGGGAATGAGGTCCAAAGTCAGGGAAAGCTTCCAAGAGAATACAATTTGAAAATGAAAGTAATAAAAGAGGAGGGAAGAAAAAATATTCTAGGCAGAGACAATAACAGTTGCAAAAATTTGGAAGGCAAGGATCAGAGTTGTGGCATAGCAAGTAAAGCCACTGCCTGTGATGCTGGCATCCCATATGAGATGCCAGTTTAAGTCTCAACTGCTCCACTTCTTATCAAGCTCCCTGAAATGGCCTGGGAAAAGCAGTGTAAGATGGCCCAAGTGCTTTGGCCCCTGCCACCCACAGGGGTGACCTGGAAGAAGCTCCTGACTTTGGCCTGGCTCAACCCTGGCGGTTGTGGTCATCTGGTGAGTGAACCAGAGGTTGGCGATCTCTCTGTCTTTCCCTCTCAGTAAATCTTCCAAAGAAGTAAATAAATCTTTTGTAAAAAATCTGGGAGGCAAGAGAAAGAAATTCGGAGAAGTAAATGAACTTCAATATACTTGGAGCTCAGATTTTAAGACAGGCAATGGAGATGAAAGAAGTTAGAATTAAATGCAAGACCAAAAAATGATATACAACCTTATAAATCACATTAAGAATTTTTTTCAAAAAGAAATGATGAGGTGCTGGCACTGTGGTGTAGTGGGCTAAGCCTCTGCCTGCAGTGCCGGAATCCCATCTGGGCACCAGTTTGTGTCCCAGCTGCTTCTCTTCGGATCCAGCTCTCTGCTATGGCCTGGGAAAGCAGTGGAAGATGGCTCAAAGCCCTTGGGTCCCTGCACCCACGTGGGAGACCCAGAGGAAGTGCCTGGTTCCTGGCTTCAGATCATCACACTCCTGCCGTTGCAACCATCTGGGAAGTAAATCAGTGGATGGAAGACCTTTCCATCTCTCCCTCTCACTGCCTGTGTCTCTACCTATCAAATAAAAATCTTAAAAAAAAAAAAAAAAGAAATTAGGAGTCCAAAGTTTCTGAGTGATAGGACTCAATTTTTTTAAAAAACATCATTTCAGCTCTTTAACAAAAAATGCTGGAATAACTTGCAATTTGTATGCAGAAATGAGCCTTAATTCATACCTTGTATCCAATATAAAACTAATGGAAAATGGATCTAAATATGAGATCTAAAACAATGAAATTTTAAGCAGAAAACATAAGAGAAAAGTCTTTGTGATTTGGGGTTAGACAAATATTTCTTAGACACAACACCAAAATCACAATTCACAAAAGAGAATACTGACAAGTCAGGCTTATGCTTTCCGCAAGACTATTAATACAATTAAGACATGCCACAAGAGTTGGTGCTGTGGCACAGCAGTTGTTTAGCTGCCAGTTGTGAATCCAGCATCCCGTATCAGAGTGCTGGTTCCAGTCCCAGATGTTCCATTTCCAATTCATCTCCCTAATGCTCTTGAGAAGGCAGCAGAAGATGGGCCAGGCACTTAGACCCCTGCCATCCATGTGGGAGACCAGGATGGAATTTCTGGCTGTTGAAGACATTTGAGTAGTGAGCCAGCAGATCAAAGATCTCTCTGCCTTTTCAAATAAAATAAATTTAAAATTAAAAAAAAAGGCAAGCTACAAACTTGGAGAAAATCTTCATAAACCAGATTCCTGAAAAATAACTCATATCTGAAAAACACAGGGGTCAATGCTGTGGCATAGTGGACTGAGCCTCTGCCTGCAGTGCCAGCCTCCCATATGGGCACTGGTTTGAGTCCTGGATGCCCCACTTCTGATCCAGCTCCCTACTGATGGCCTGGAAAGACAGAAGATGGTCCAAGTCCTTGGGCCCCTGAACCAGCATGGAAGACCCGGAGGAAGCTCTAGCCTCCTGCCTTTAGATAGGCCTGGCCCAGCTCGCTCTCTCGCTCACTTGCTCTCTCTCTCTCTCTCTGTAACTCTGCTTCTCAAATAAATAAATCTTAAAAAAAAAAAAAAACATTAAAAAAACTCCCAAAACTCAGTAAGAAGACAAGCAAGTAACTAAAAACAAAACTGGACAATAAAGATAGATATTTCACCAAAGAAGAAATCTGGGTGATAAACAAGTAAGAGAAGACCCTGGCCATCAGGAAAATACAAATTAAAATTACAATGAGAGACCACAGCCACTTGGATGTCCATAATAAAAAAAATGAGGTGAGGGTAACAAGTGTTGGTGAAGATACAGAGAAATTGGAACTCTCCTATATTGCTGGTAGGAATGAAAGTCAGTGCAGCCACTGTGCAGAACAGTCTGGCAGTTCTTCAAAAAGTTAAATAAAGAGTGACCAGGTGACTTAGTAATACCACTTTTAGGTATTTACCCAAGAGAAAAGAAATATATGTTCATATCAAGATTTATACACACAGACTCCTAGCATGATTACACATAAATATAAAATTGTCTTATTTCTAACAGCCAAAAACTGGGATCAACTAAAATGTTCTTCAAAAAATTATTAAACAAACTGGGGCAAATCCATATGATAGAACACTACAGAAAGAAACAAATGATCAATACACACAACCTGAATGAATGTGATGCTGAGAAACTTGAGTATCTACAAGTCAAAGTAAAAAGTTAAGACCCATACAATAACATATATGACAATTAACTAAAAATGGATCAAAGATCTAAACCTGTAATATTCTTAGGAGAAAAGCTTTATGACATTGGATTTGATAACGATTCTTTGAATATAACACCAAAAGTACAAACAAAAGCAAAGACAAAGTGAACCATGTTAAAATTACAACCTCTGTATATCAAAAGACTCAATACACAGTGAAAAAGCAACTTAACAAAAAGGGAAAAATGTATCATTTATCTGATAAGCAATTAATATCCAGAATATATAAAGAATTCCTACAATTCAACCAAAAAAACCTCACCCACCTGAAAAATGGGCAGGGGTGGGCAATTGATGCAGCAGTTAGGTCGCTGCCTGGGATGCCTGCATCCCATATAGGAGTCCCTGGGTTCAATTCCTGGATCCGCTTCTGATCCAACTTCCTGCTAATGAGCAGGAACATGGGAGGCAACAGGTGACAGCTCAAGTGCTTGAGTCCCTGCCACCCACATGGGAGATCCAGATTGAGTTCCGGGCTCCAGGTTTTAGCCTGGCCCAGTCCTGGCTGTTGAAGACATTTGGAAGTGGACCAGCATGATGGAAGATCTCTGTCTCTCTGCCTTTCAAATAAATAAATTAAAAAATTCTTTTAAATGGACAAAAGATTTGAACACTTTCTCAAAGAAGACATACAGTCAACAAGCACATGAAAAGATGCTCAACATTATTAGCTATTAGGGAAATGCAAATCAAAGTCATGAGACACCATTTCACATACATTGGGATAGCTATGATGAAAAAATGGAAAATAACAAGTGTTGTTGAGGACGTAGAGAAACTGGAACACTTACTTACACGTTGCTGGTGGGAATGTATAGTGAGTAGTACAACTGTTACGGAAGACAGTATAGTGGGTACCAGTGTTGTGGTACTGTCTATGATGCCTGCATTTCATATGAGTGCCAGTTCAAGTCCCGGCTGCTCCACTTCCAATCTAGCTCCCTGCTAATGTGCCTGGGAAAGCAGTGGAATATGACCCGAGTACTTGGGCCCCTGCCACCCATGTCAGAGACACAGATGGAGTTCCAGGCCCTGGGTTTCAGTCTGGCCCAGTCCCCGTCTTTGCAGCCATTTGGGGAGTGAACCAGCAGATGGAAGATCCCTCTCTGTAACTCTTTCAAATAAATAAACAAATCTTTAAAAAGAAAGAAAAAAGTAGTATGGTAGTTCCATAAAAAATTTAAAGAATTACTTTACAATCCAACAAATAGATTGCTATTTCTTGGTCTATATATAAAAAGAACTGAAAAAAATAGTCTTGAGTTATTTGTATACCCACATTCCCAACAGTGCTATTCAGAATAGCCAACAGATGGAAGTAACACAATGTTCATCAGTGGATGAATAAACAAAATGCGGTATTTGCCTACAATGGACCACTACTTGGCCTTAAAAATGAAGGAAACTGGCACATGCCATAACATAGATAAACCTTGAGGACATCATGCTATTTACTGAGGACAATGCATCAGTCACAAAAAGACAAATACTCTGAATCCACTTACATGAGCAATTATGAACTACCTGTAATAGTCAAACTCACAGAAACAGAAAACAAAACGGTGGCTGTAGGGGCTGAGGGGAAAGGAAAATCAGAGCGGGGTTTGTTCTGGTCCTTGGTTGCAAAATAATGTTGTGAATGTACTTGACACTAATGAACTAAACAGTACACTTCAGGGCCGATACTGTGGCATAGTGGGTAATGGCGCTGCCTGCAATGCCGGCATCAAATATGGGCACCAGTTCAAGTCCCGATGCTCTACTTCCAATCCAGCTCTCTGCTATGGCCTGGGAAAGCAGTAAAGATGGCCCAAGTCCTCAGGCCCCTGCACCAGCGTGGGAGACCCAGAGGAAGCTCCTGGTTCAGATTGGCCCAGCTCCAGCCATTGTGGCCATTTGGGAGTGAATCAGCGGATGGAAGACCTCTCTTTCTCTCTCTGCCTCTCTGTAACTTTACCTTTCAAATAAAATAAATAAATATTTTTAAAAAGTATACTTAAGGATTGAGATACTAAATTTTACATTACACATTCTTAACCACAGTTTTTTAAGTATTTATCATTTCATTGACCTAAAATTCTAGAAAATGCAAAGAAATCTGTATTGACAGAAAGCGGATTAAGAGTTGTCAGGGGACAGAGAAGATGGAAGGAAAAGAGGAGGCAAGAAAAAAAGGTTTCAAAGGGCCACAAAGAAAACTTTCAGGGGTGACAGGCCTGCTCGTTATCTTGTTACACAGACTTCACAGATATAAACATCCATCAAACCTTAACAAATAGTACACTTGAAATATGTGGCTTCTATTTCAATTTTCTCACTTTGATCTCAATAAAGCTGCTTCTTTAAAAAGGATAAATGAGGGGCTTGGCACTGTGATACAGCAGGTTAAGCCACTGCTTGTAATGCTGGCATCCCAAACCAGACTGCCAGTTTGGGTCCTGACTTGGCTACTCTGCTTCCAATCCAGCTTAAACAGCATGGGAAAGCATCAGAAGTTGGCTTAACTACTTGGGTCCCTGGCTACTCATGTGGGAGATGAGGATATAGTTCCTGGCTCCGGGCTTCAGAATGGACTAACCCTAGCTGTTGCAACTATTTGAGGAGTAAACTGGAGATGGAAGATCCATCTTTTCCTCTCTCTGTTGATCTGCCTTTCAGTAAGTTAGTCTTTCAAAAGGATAACTGAGACATACTAGCAAGATTAGTGTAAAGCCTTACTTCATCATCAATCTTCATCTGGAAATCTTCCTCATTTTCTTCCTCTGGAGCAAAAAAAGACTTCTCTCCATAGCCAGCATCCTGAAAGAGGACAAATTCATACATAAACCAGTCATTTGAAAAACACAAAGCACAAGTTTTAATGAATACCAAGTGCAGAACAGCAAAGCATATTTTGCAGAGAATAGATTCTGTGAAGTCTTCAATGTATCTCTCACCACTGTACATCCTTTAAGCTGTTAGAAAACATATTATCACGTTCCAAGGAGTTTACTGACACACAAATAATTCAGGTCCATAAGGAAGCTCATCAGAGATGCATCATATTAACTCAGCGGAACAGAGCTCTGTTGTCCCGTTCCAGTTGGATCGTTCCTATTTTAGCCTTAAAGGATACCATGCCGGCTGGCGCCACGGCTCACTAGGCTAATCCTCTGCCTGAGGCACCGGCACCCTGGGTTCTAGTCCCAGTTGGGGTGCCGGATTCTGTCCCGGTTGCTCCTCTTCCAGTCCAGCTCTCGGCTGTGGCCCGGGAAGGCAGTGGAGGATGGCCCAAGTGCTTGGGCCCTGCACCTGCATGGGAGACCAGGAGAAAGCACCTGCCTCCTGACTTCCGATCGGTGCAACGCACCAGCCGCAACGCGCCAGCCATAGCAGCCATTTGGGGGGTGAACCAACGGAAAAAGGAAGACCTTTCTCTCTCTCTCTAACTCTGCCTGTCAAAAAAAAAAAAGGATACCATGCCTCTATACACACATCCAGCATCATCATCATCTCTGCTCACCTGAAAGGCTGACAAGTACTTTCCATGCTTACATGCTTGTCTTGCAAAGAAGAAATTGAAGTCACCACCCAAATGGACCAGCAACCATTTTCAAAGCAAATCAGTATGTCCAAAGTCCCTCATTACACCTTCTTACTGATATACAGCTACACTGTAGATCTCTCCAGAATTGATACACACAGAAAGTACCTAATACAGTTTGGAATTTTTAGCAATTGTTATCACCTAGCAACCCTCATCTCTAAGCTAGGCACAGTCTTCTCCCATCTCTCTGAAAACAAAACAAAACAAAACCCACGGGCACATGCAGTGCCTCAGAAGAAGGTGATCACCTTCAGTCGCTGCTCTGCAGCTATCATGCTATAATAAGCACAGCACTGCTCTGGTGACACCATAGCTCTAATCTCCTCTTCGGTTGGTAAACGAAAATCAGACTTCAGCACCCACCAATTTGAGTCCATCCCTGGAAAAGATACAGAGAGACCATTCTGAATTCCAAAGGCCCTGACATTCATCAACAGCAACAGCAACAGCAACAGCAACAGCAACAAAAACAGCAAACCAATACCAAACCAAGGAATGCCCTTGATGGTAATAGGTTTAGCCACAGTTAGTGTGACTATCTGGCCAAGAAAACACTTGCTACTGGGTTTCCTACATTAAGACATCTAAAAATCACATTGAATTTCCTGGCAACAATATCAGAAAAGCAATCTGAGCCTCCATAGTTAGAATATTTGCTATTCATGGCCATCAAATTCTATTTTATTAACTGTATATTTATCCTTGAACTGAAAACCATCAAAATTCCTTTCTTAGAAAGACAAAGAGACACATGTAACTAGTCACAAATAATGACCTGTGCGTTTGAAGTCGGCACAGAGTTTTAGCCTCTTCCGGATGCTGCTTTCTGAATGGGAAGGAAAGGCTTTTTTTATATCTTCCATTCGGATTCGCCGTGGTCGATCTTTACTTTTCCAGAAGAGGCGGTATATAAAAACCTGCCCAACAAACCAAATGTATTTTCTTGAGCACAGTAAACGATGAAAGACCTGGCCACGGTCCCTTTCCGTAAGCTCCAATGTGTTTACATCTGTCCTGATGTGCCCCCAAATCCCTTTTCATGTGCATTCCAACCTCCTGACCCCGCACTCCACTTGTGCTCCCATTCTTACCTGTAGAAAGTCTCGAATATGCGTATTGGCCCTTTTGGAGTTAGGTCCAGGAACTTCAAACAAGGGGCACTGCTGGCCAACCACAAAAATATCCACTAATTCCCGAATATAGTAACCCTGTCTCGTTCGAATGATCAGGAAGTCAGTTTCTGGCATCTTATGAAGATAAATTGGAGCACGAAAAAGGTTGTTCTCAAATGCCTAATAAAAGTAAGAAACAAAACAATTATAAACAAAGAATTCCAGGAAGCTCAGTCAACTAATGAAAAAGGAAAAGTAAGCTGCTCTCTGTCTTCCTTCTTCCATCTCAAGTCTTTACCTAGTAAAATAAATAAATCTGGAATATCAAATGGGAATAGACAAACTTTATAGCCACTATCTCTTTTAGAATTAGTAGAAAAAATTCAAAATTTAGATTCATTTACTGTATGTTGTCAGAAAAATTATTTTAAATTTCTGGGCTTAATTTTGTCTACAAAATGCTCCATACTTAAAATGCTTATGCCTCACAGGATTGTTATGAAAATCAGTTTATAAACTAAGCTACTACCTTAGAACCCAGATACTTTTATAAACTAACAAGTTCTTTACTACTACCCTTAACTCCAGCATAGCCTCTTCTAACAGGTGAAATTAAAATATCTGTTGAATAAATCAGTTAATTAATTAAAATAAAAGCAAAACTCAATCAGGTAAGGAAATCACAAAAAGAGAGCAGGAAAGAGCTGCAGGAGGTCCTGAGAACGCGAGTTGTGGCCCAACACTTGTGGAAGCAAGTATTTCAAAAACAACAATACCAGATGCCTCTTGGTACATAACCTATGGAAAGGACTGCGACAGTATGGGAAATGAGGTAACAAGCTGTTTGCTATCATCTTGCAAACTGGGATTTGGAGTGGATCACTTATGAGATGATAATCTTGAAACTTACTGGAGGTGCCGGCACTGTGGCATAGTGAGTAAAGATGCCACCTGTAGTGCCGACATCCCACACAGGCGCGGGTTCGAGTCCCGGCTGCTCCACTTCCCTTCCAGCTCTCTGCTATGGCCTGAGAAAGCAGTGGAAGATGGCCCAAGTCCTTAGGCCCCTGCACCCATGTGGCAGACCCAGAAGAAGCTCCTTGCTCCTGGCTTTGGATCGGCACAGCTCTGGCTATTGCAGCCAGTTGGGGAATAAACCAGCAGATGGAAGACCTTTCTCTCTCTGCCTCTCCTCTCTGTGTAACTATTTCAAATATATAAATTTATCTTAAAAAAAAAAAAAAAACTTGGCCGGCGCTGCGGCTCAATAGGCTAATCCTCCACCTGCGGTGCCGGCACACCGGGTTCTAGTCCCAGTTGGGGCGCTCGATTCTGTCCCGATTGCTCCTCTTCCAGTCCAGCTCTCTGCTGTGGGCCGGGAGGGTAGTGGAGGATGGCCCAAGTGCTTGGGCCCTGCACCCGCATAGGAGACCAGGAGAAGCTCCTGGCTCCTGGCTTCGGATCAGCATGGTGCGCCGGCCACAGCGCGTCAGCTGTGGCGGCCATTAGAGGGTGAACCAACGGTAAAGGAAGACCTTTCTCTCTGTCTCTCTCTCACTGTCCACTCTGTCCAAAACAAAACAAAACAAAAGGGAAGAAAGAAAAGAAAAAGAAAAAGAAGATCTCAGTCAGGATAGCAAATAATTTTCACAACCTTCAAGAAATTTGGCAACTAGAAATGACGGAACCAAGTGGCTGGATACACGTTCCTTTAACTGATAATCCTAAGAAGCCAACTCGCACCTTCATGATGCAGACTGCTATTCTGGCCAATCACCAAAATGGAAGAGATATCCAAATGGACAAATTAAAATATACACACATTAGGGCCAGCGCTATGGCACAGTGGATGAACACCCTGGCCTGAAGCGCCGGCATCCCATATGGATGCTGGGGTTGGAGGACCTGGGCGGCTCCCACTTTCTTTTTTTTTTT